TTAGTTTGTTAATAAACCAGTGCGTGTTTTAATTCACACTACGAACAGTAAATAACGTTACAATATAGAAAATACCCAAAATTCAAATCAAAATTCTTATTCCCAACAAAATAACATGCAAAATTAAAGTAATTCTAATAATCAAAACCAAACAAGTCATTCTTACATGCAAAATCAACCCAATAACTCTAACATGCAAAAGAATTATGTACAAAATCAAAATTCTAATACACAGGAAACCATAACTACTCATTGTAGTTACCTAATTTGCTCTCAAATTCTGTTGCAAACAGCAATAATTAACATCTAATAAAAACATACCTGAAAAAAATCTATAAAATGTTTTAACTTACAAGATTTCATTTTTTATCATTATCACTTTCAAGGCTTTTAAGAGTAATGGCATATATCTTGCGTTTTATTCATATTTGTAAACCAAGGGGTAAAAATTCCACATTCTATAATCAATTAACTAAAACAGAAATCGAAAACTCAAAAATAACTCTTTCAAAATTAGTCCAACAGTCATCATTTCCTAACGAATTAAATTCTCTTAAAAAATTAGGAATCGTTTCTAAGGGCAGCAAATTATTATCTTTGACTCCATTTTTGAATTCAGATAATTTAATTCGAGTAGGAGGCAGCATTATTGTATGACCAAATTCATCCAATTGTTTTGCCAAATAATCACATATTCACAAATTTAATTATTAAACATGAACATCTTAAAAACAAGCATGCAGGAGCACAATTTATCTTATCAAATATAAGAGTTTTGGCCACTTAATGGCAAATCTAAAATAAGGCATGTTTTAAGAAAATGCATTACTTGTTTTCGATACAAACCTTCAAGCATTGTTCCCCAAATGGGTAATTTGCCCTCTAAAAGAGTCACCACAGCTAGAACTTTCACAAGCTCTAGTGTAGATTATGCAGGTCCAATTTTCATAAAAAATTCAACATTGAAGAACAGAATATTTATTAAGGCATATGGAATATTTGTGTATTTTTGTATGTTTTGTTACCAAGGCGACACATATTGAGGTGGCTGTCGATTTAACGTCAGATTCGTTATTAAATGTTTTAAAACGTTTTGTATCTAGACGTGGGTTACCCGAGCATATTTTTAACGATAATGCAACAAATTTCACAGAAGCAAATAATATCTTGTCTAATATAATGTCTGATTCAACTAACTTTAATAATTTTATTCTAGAAAACAAGATAACATGGCATTTTATACCTGCAAAAAGCCCTCAGTTTAATGGATTAGCTGAGGCTGCTGTAAAATCAGCAAAAATTCATTTATTTCGTGTAATAGGAGACACAAAATTAACATTTGAAGGTCTATGCACATTTTTTACACAAATTGAGGCCATACTTAACTCCGGACCTTTATTTCCTTGTTCCAATGATCCCAACGATCTCTCTCCATTAACCCCCGGACACTTTTTGATCGGTGACAAGCTGACAGCATTACCACAACTCAACGTTGAATCCACCACATACAACAGGCTTTCCCATTATCACCAGCTGCAGCAGATGGTTCAGAATTTTTGGCAGAGATGGTCAAAAGAGTATTCACACTTCAACAGCGAGCAAAGTGGCAGGCTTCCAGTCCAACACAGTTTGATCTGGGCTCCCTCGTACTCCTCAGAGATGACAACACATCCTCATAGCAGTGGAGACTTGGTCGCATCACACAACTTTATCCGGGAGAAGACGGTGTTGTGCGCTGTGTATCTGTAAAAACGTCCAGGGGCGAGGTGAAGCGAGCTACTCAAAAAATTTGTGTTCTACCTACCTGCGATAACGAAGGTAGTGTTGTGTAAAGTTTTAAACTTTTATTTAAACAAAACCACATTTAGTTTAGTGCAATTTTATCATGTCATATGTTTTAATAGATTTATGTTAGGTTATTCTTCTTCTTCTAAAGTTAGGATAGGATATGTCAAGTTTACATTTGATAAATATTTCAAAACTTTAAATTTATTATTTGCTAGGACGCAATTTTTTGATTATTTACAATAATTTTTTTTGTTATTCTTTTTGAAACCCGCCAGTTTCAAGGTTGGCGGTATGTTTAGTTTTAAGTGTTGAATTGTTTGTAAAGCGCTCCCCTCTCCTATGAAGGAATTTTTAATTAGGTAAGTCATTCATTATACGACAACCATCAAGATAAGAAGACAAATATACATCATTACACAAACGCATTTTATTAAATCAAATCAACTAGAGAAAATAAAAACTATTATAGAGCCTCAAAACACACGGGGACCATATAATTGAAGCATACTCTAACTTTGATCTGACCAACGAACTGAACAATGTCTCAAAAGATCTAACATTTGCAAAATCGCGCCCCATTTTCGTTATAAAACCCAACATCTCCCTGCCTCCGACACTATTCTGTCGTAATGTCCCGAAAATTGAAGCCTCGAATCCAGCACTACTCCCAGATCTCTAACAGATTCCACCCTGCATAAAATGGTGTTATTAATTTTATAATTTGTTATGTCGTGGTTATTACTTCTTGAAAAAGTCATTAACTGGCATTTATTATGATTCAAGATGAGCTTATTTATTTATATTTTTTATGCACCAGTCATATAATTTATCAGTCACCCTGAATCATCTGAATATCACTCAAACCACTGATAGACCTGAACAACTTGAGGTCATCTGCAAACAAAAAAATTTAAGTCGAATTCTAACCCAATATCATTAACTAAAATATTAAATAATATGGGGCCCAGGTGAGACCCCTGTGGGACTCCACTTGATACATAAATATTGCCAGACACGAAACCCCTTAATTTGACACATTAAGTTCTACCAGACAGATATGTCTGAAGCCAAGAACTAATAGGCGGTCTTACACCATAACGGCACGACTTTTTCAACAAGATCTCATGATCCACAATATCGAAGGCCTTGCTGAAGTCTGTATAAATAGCATGTACAGGTAAACCCTTGTCAAGAGACCGAGTCACATAATTAACAAAAATGAATAGATTGGATACGGTAGAACGTCCCTCAGCAAAGCCATATTGTTCTTTTATAATAACATTTCTAAATGAGCCTGATAAAAACGGTGTCACCACTTTTTCAAAAACCTTAGAGATTGCTGATTGCAAGCAGACTTGCCTATAGTTCTTTACATCAGATCTTTGGCCAGACTTAAAAATTGGCACTACATATGACTTTTTCCAAATCTCTCTTCAGGGAAAAATTAAAAATTTCAAGTAACGGAGTGCAAAGAGAAGTAGCAGTGTTTCTCAAAAACAGATTAGGTATTTTGTCTGGCCCAGACGATTTATTTACATTAAGTTTACATAGAACCGAGTATAAGTGTTCAAATGATATTTCAATAGTAGACAGATCTACACGATCGTCAAACAACATTATCACCTGTACCAGCTGTATGTTTACCTACTTTGTATACGGAACTAAAGTGCTGGACAAACAAGTCCACCACAGACTGACCCTCATCAGCGACAACATCATCCAAGACTACTGACGCAGGAATATCAGATGATTTTTTACTGTTTTTAACATGCTGCCAAAATGCGTTAACAAGAGTGTTCAGCTGACCTTCAATGTTATTTAAGTATCTTTTATAGCATTCATCCGAAACATTCCTACATTGTCGTCTTAAGGACGAAAATACCTTATAATGAGCAGTCAAGCCCGTTTCCTTAAATCTTTTATGTGCCCCACGCTTTAGTTTTATTAATATTTTTAAATTGCTATCAAACCAGACTGGAAATTTTGAATTATTTATAAATTTCTTTGGTACAAACTGATCAATAGCATCATATACCACATCATAAAAAACATTCACATTTTCATCGATTGATACATCAGTATTAAGAATGTCGAACCAGTTAATTTCAAAAAAATAGTTATTTAGTAAGTCATAATTGGCATTTTAAAATCATAATTCCAGTTATTTTCATCATTTAGCTCCAACTGACTGTCAACAAAATCTAATACTGTAAATGACAGTGGAGGATGACTAGGGGAGATGCCATTACAACATTCAAATAGATATCCGAAAAGCAAAGATCCTACATTCTACTATTATTGTTTAAAATAGAATTGTACTGAGAAAGGTCCAAGTATGAAAAGTGATCCAACAAAAGTCTCTCTTTTTCAAAACTTACATTAGAAGCCACCACATGTCCCTTACCGCAGTCAAGCCTCCAATCAAGACCTGGAAGGTTGTAATCACCAGCTACAATCAATTTAGCCTCAGGGTGCTTATTTTGAATCAAAATCAAAAGTGCATTAATATGACTCTCATAATGCTCCACTGGAGATCCTGGTGGAAAATATACACACACCAAAATTGAGCTTTACACCTGCAAAGATCTTAACAAAAATTTGTTCAATATTATTGTTCTCAATTAACACCTCACAGGACTTGATGGCCCACTTGACTGCAATAAAGACTTCCCCTCCTCTAGAGGCTTCACTGGTCAAAGTACTTATGTCGCACCTATAAAGCTGATATTGGTTACCCACAACTTCAAAATTATTTATATCAGCATTTAACCAGGATTCTGTTACAAATACGACATCGTAACTTTCTGACAAAAGAGACAACATAAAAAGGTTTTTGTTTAGTTCTAAGACCTCCCACATTTTGATATTAAATTAATACGTTTTTATTGCAATTGCTTGTACTTAAAAATTTAGTTTGTTAACAATTTTTGGCACTCCCCGAACATATTTAATTGTCTTGGTTTCATCCCCACTACTGTTCAGCTCATCTAACTCCTCCCTTAACTTCTTCAGATGCTGACGTTGCAGTTCGGTCATATCGGCCTTAAAATTAACTGAAAGTTTAGAAGAAGGTCTTCCTTTTAAAACAGTCGAGACCTCCTCCGCTGATTTCAAAGTTACCTTGACCGGTCTACATTTGCTTCTTGTAAACTTTCCTAACCTGCTAACGTTCACCACCTCACACTGGATTCCACATTTTTTATTCATCTCTGCTATAATTTTTCGCGATTCTCATCCTCTCTTTCACTCTTACTCTCCTTGGCAGACTCCTTTAAATTAAAAACCACTAAATTTGAGGCTCTTCTCATTCTTTCATTCACCTCATATATTAACTCCTCTTGGCCAGCTCCCACAAACCTTTGGCCTTCCAACTGAAGAACTCTTTCGGAAAGCTCTTGATTTTGTTTTCTTAATTCACAGTTGTCCTTAATCATCCTGTCTAGTCGATCAACCAAACCATCCAGCCGAGCCTTAAACATGTTACCAAGATCGACTTTGAATTCAGCCAATCTACTAGTTATTAATACTTCAATGGAGTCATCTTGTACATTCTGTTGGCCCTTATTTTCGGTGTTAACCTCTGAATCTTACACACGTGGCAGATCCATCTAACCCCTTCAGACTTCTTTTCTTCCTTAGCCAGGTACTTCATAGTAAAGCTATCAACCTTAACACATTTGCCATGGAACCAAATTCCGCATCTACTGCATCCAAGAGACCCTGAGGTGCATTGCAGTTTACAGTCACCACAGTTATACATTTTCCTCGATATCTAAGTTATATTTTAATACTCAGGAGTAAAAAGAACTGTTAGTTATCACTATAACCACTCAAACCGTACTTAAAATCTAATAAAATGCAAAATAATCTCATAAAATCATTTAGAGTATTTCTAGGTTAATCTTCTTCCCAATGATAATAATAATAATAATAATAATAATAATAATAATAATAATAATAATAATAATAATAATAATAATAATAATAGTTTATTAGCATCATACATATAAATACATGTTTAGGCAGTCATAAAAAGGTACATAAGTATTTAAGAAATAAAAGTTGACTACGTGTTGAACAAACAAAATTATATACAAGTTTTAACATATTTTAAAAAGCAGTGAAAAATAAAATATAAATAAAACATTTACAAGTATACCTAATTAAAATACATAATTAAAATAACAAAACAAGTTAAAACAATCGGTGCCCAATCAATCATAAAACAAATTAAAATTATAATTAAGATAATCAGACGTGGAATAAAAACTATGCTTTAAAAGAAATGATTTTAATACCACTTTGAATTGTTTAAAACTTAAATCTCTTACGGACTGTGGAAGTTTATTAAAAAACATTGGACCATAATAATTTATGCCATTTCGGCTTCTGTTAAGTCTATGAAAATTTAAATGAATATCACCAGAGTTTCGCATATTGACACTACTTTCTTGCCTTCGGGTATTAAACAAATGCAAATTACTTCTAACATATAACAAACAATTTAATACATATGTACAGGGTAATGTTAAAATTCCTAACTCCTGAAAGGCAGCTTTGCAATCATCTCTATAGTTTATCCTTTTTAGAATACGTACAACTTTTCTTTGGAGTCCAAATATACGTTGGCTATGAGAGGAATGTCCCCAAACCAGAATTCCGTAGCTCATTTTTGAATGAAACAAAGCAAAGTAGGCACATTTTAGGACATTTTCTGAGACCATCAAGCTTAGGCGCCTCAGCAAATATACACATGAAGACAAAGACCTTGACACATCATCTACGTGTGCAGCCCAAGTCAGCCCCGAATCAAGCCTTACACCCAGAAAAACAACTGAATCTATTTCGTTGGGGCACGGAAGCTGACGCAGAGAAAAGTAGAAGGTCTTTGTCTTTTCCAAATTTAAGCACAATCCGTTACAAGCAAACCATGAGCTTAATTTTGACTGGGTTTCAAGCATTTTCAGACTTACATTCTCAAATGATTTATTTTTTACCACTGCTGTTGTATCATCAGCAAATAAAAATAATTTTAAATCCGGTAGATCCACTGGTAGGCTATTAATAAAGATTAAAAATAAAATCGGTCCAAGAACCGAGCCTTGAGGTACTCCAAGATTCAAAGGTAAAACGTCAGATACTGTATTGTTAACTTGGACCATTTGATATCTATTCGATAAAAAAGACGACATCAGTGACACAGCACTATCTGAGAAATTCTACATTTTCAATCGTTCAAGCAGGATTTTCCTTGAAACGCAGTCAAAAGCCTTTGACAAGTCACAAAAAACAGTACCCGCAAAACTTCCCTCCTCAAATGAGCCACATATGAACTCGGCTAGGTGACTTACTGCAATACTTGTAGATAAGTTTTGTCGAAAACCATACTGTGACGTTGAAAAAAGGTTAAACGTTTCAAAATAATTTGCAACTTGTTTTGCCAATGTCTTCTCAAAAATCTTACTTAAAATAGGTGTTATTGAAATTGGCCTATAGTTATTAAGTTCATTAATGTCGCCCTTCTTATGCAAAGGTAAAACCCTGGAAATATTAAGGCTTAAGGGATATTCCCCTTTTAAAATTGATTCGTTAAATAATTTACATAGTGGATAGATGATTAGGTGAACAATTGATTTAAGCATTTTTGAATTCAACCTATAAACATCCATGCATCGGGAATCCTTAAGTTGCACAATTATATCTCTTAGGACATTAAAAGTTATTAAAGAAAACTTAAAATTATTAAGATTTTTTTTAATGTTATTGCTCAAGACAGGTTGAGAAATGGCTGGCAAATTGTTTACTATATTATTAGCAACATTTGTAAAAAATAAATTAAATTCATTAGCATTAATGCTTGTTGGAGTTGAAACAGTATATTTTTCCCCCTGATTTTCATTAATAATTTGCCACACTGCCTTACATTTGTTATTGGCATTGGCAATAAAACTATTATTTGAATCTCGTTTGGCTGTTTTAATATCTGATCTATATTCACGCTTTAAACGTTTAAGCTCAGTAAATGCATAAGGGTCTCCAGTATAATTATAAGCATCCCTTAAAAAGTTTAATTTTTCACGTTTTTCCCTTAACGAATCATTGAACCATTTATTGGTGTGTGAATTATTGCCCCTTACCCGAATATTTTTGGATGGGAAAGCAAATTTACTACCCTCCTGTAATATATCTAAAAACAAAGAAAACTTATCATTAATACCAAAATTGCTTGTAACAAAACTCCAATCTTGATTTAAAATATAATTATAAAATAAATGTAGACCTCTTTGGGTAATAGGAGTTATAGTTTTAGTTGATATTGGATTATCAATAAATGATAATACAAAATGAAAATTAACTGAGGCATGATCTGATAAACCGGGATCATAAACAAAGCTATCGTAAAAATCAGGTAAAACGTTTGTAAAAATATTGTCAATACAAGAATTAATTCTGGGTAATAGGAGTTATAGTTTTAGTTGATATTGGATTATCAATAAATGATAATACAAAATGAAAATTAACTGAGGCATGATCTGATAAACCGGGATCATAAACAAAGCTATCGTAAAAATCAGGTAAAACGTTTGTAAAAATATTGTCAATACAAGAATTAATTCTGGTATTTTCAAATATAGTTTTATTTAAATCAAAAGTCCCTAATAGATCCAGAAGTTCCAATTGTCTAGCATTTACTACATTAAAGTTAATATTAAAATCACCCATAATAATAAGTTTTTTTTCAGAATTATTAAGTATTGTTAGTAAATTAACAAATACATCAATAAACTTATTAAAATCACCACCTGGTGGTCTATAGACGCAAACAAGTACAATATTTAAGAGGTTAGATTCCAAAGCGCAAATCTCCACATCCATTTCCTGGCTTAAGTCAGTTAAGTCTGTCCTTGCAGTACAGCAACTAACAAAATCCCGGTAAACGTAAATAGAGACACCACCATGAATTCTCACATCTCTACAATAAAAAGTAAAAAGGCAATAGTTTTCCAAAACAAGTGACTGTATTTGGGCTTTTGAAGCCCAATGTTCAGAGAAACAGAGAAAATGATATTTAAATGATAAGGCATCGATTTCGTCAACCTTATTGGATAGGCACTGAATATTAATGTGAAAACATTCAATTTTTAGGTCGCTGCCGGGTTGTTCGGAGCTTCTGGAAAATTTTCTTTAGTGTTTCCAGTTGATTTTTTTGGAAAATAGTATCGGTTTACATATGTATTTTCAGGCCAAAAATCAGGATTTCTTAAGGTGACTTCATGTCTCGCTGGAGCTTTTATAATAAAACTTCCTTTTGAAGTTGAATTTTTTGAAATGTGGCTGTCCACGTTAAACGTCGAAACAGAATCAAATTCTTCTAACACATTAAGAATCTCTTCGCAGGTTGTATCTGGATTTAAATTTGAAAGAAAAATCCACGTGACTCTTTCCAATGGCTTTAGCTTTGCTCTGGCACCAGATACATTTGTGTTCTTTGAAATAAACTTGTCGGTGCTTTTGTTTTTTACAACTTTTTGTTCAATTTTGGCTTTCTTATTTTTTCCAACAAAAGTTTTCCAATCATTCTCAAGCAAACTTGGATTTTTTGCTGATGAACTTTGATTATCCGAAACTTGATTACACAGTGCAACAATTTTAGGTGCATCAAAAATTACCTGGATGCGGTCTGGATAGGTCGATAGCACTATTTTTGTAGACCAAAACCCCCAAAGGATTTTAAAAAGTTAGCTCGACTTTAAAAGTTATGACTCGTTCGCGTAATCTATATTAACTTTATTCGCATTTTAACAATGGGTCATATAATTTTTATTATAAATACATATATTTTAAATGCAAAATGGTTATTAATAATGTAATAATGAAATTCTATGAAAAAACTACCCCTAAAAATCATTTACAAAAATATTCTTATACATTTTACACCAAATATTTATTTAAAATATCTAAATTTTTAAATGCTTTAAAATTAAGGTAGAAAAAAACATATTCGAAAAAATATAAGAAAACCTATTATATTTTAGCTCTCTTACATTCCCTGGTAATTTGAGTGGTATATTGATCATCCTCCTGGTCATCATCATTATCTGAAATAATAAAATCATCTAACAACTCATCTTCTTGTTTTTCTACATCAGTTTCTTCTTCATCGCGATGTTCATACATGTGTTTGCTCCACCAACAAATTTCAGCTAGTATCGCGTCTGGGGACTTTTTTCCTCTAAATCTAAGTAAATGAAATTACAGTTTTTTTTAATAAAAAATTAGCAGTGATTTAAAAAAATTACCTAATTTCGAAAGGGATTGCGATGATATCGTTCTCCTTGTTCATCCGATTCGGTTGGCAACTGTTGACTAAAGTAACGGAGATGATGATGTAAGTAGTGGATTTTTAAGGACATGTTGACCCCTATTTTCGAAAATGACTCCAACATACGAGCAACTGAGGCTTCGTAGTTCTCCAAGCGATGTTTGCCCAAAAATCCGTTTATTACGTCTTTTATTGCTTGCCATGCAAGCAATTCTTCATCTATTAATACTTGTTCAAAATCATTGCTTTTCATCAACTTTCGTATATCAGGCCCGTTAACAACTCCTAAAAAGTTTACATAAACATAATATATTATGATGATTTATAAAACTAAATCCTTACCATTCAACAATTTTTGTGCGCTAAGTCCAGGAAAAATTGTTCTTAAGCAGTGAAAGACATTTTTCTTTTTGGCAACACATTTTAAAAAGTTTTTAACGATACCCAGCTTTACATGAAGAAGTGGCATCAAAATTTTCTCGACAGGTACCAGTGGAACACGAACAATATTTGTATTTTTAAACTGACTCTCACTTCTAGCAACCCAGTCATGAGTAGCATATTGGTCGCCACGGTATCGTGTATTCCAGTCACATAAAAAGCACATATGTTTTACATAGCCACCCTGCATGCCGCAAAGCATTGCCACAACCTTCAATCGCAACAAATTCGCCACTGGTTTTCGCTATAACGAACAACTTCTAATATAAATTTTAATTTGTAGTAAGTTTCTTTGGTATCCGTGCTATAAGCTATTGGTACGGCCGGCTTATTATTAAATTTATGAAGAAGGACAGCTTTAAGGCTAAACTTGGAGCTGTCAATAAATAAACGCCACTCATTCTTTTGGTACCTAATTCCCATTTCAGTAATTAGTTTTTCAATGTCGGTGCAATATGCAAATAACTTTTCATTGTTTACACAAAAATTTTCTTTTAAATCTGCACTTCGTTTTCTATATGCCGTTACCTTTGTCCCTTGTGCCAATAAATTGTTAGAATTCAAAATTGATGCCAGTATTTCAGATTTTCTCTGAGATAACTCTAACTTGGCTACAATGTGATCCAATAAATCCTGCGTAATTTTCACTGGCTGGTTCGATGACGATGAAGGAGGAACATATTCTGAAAAAACATTAGGGCTACTAGGGGTGGTATAATTTTCAGAAAATGCTACACTTTGTGGAACCTTTGGGATTGGGATGGTATTAGAATGTGGTAATGGTAACTGAACACTTGAAACCCCAATATAAATTTTGTTTTTTGATTTGAGTTTGTTCAGTCCATTTTTAAAATTTACACACACATAACAATTTTCTTCTTCGTGGGTTCCTGGATCGAACCAAAGCATTGGTACACCAAAAGGCAAAGCAGCCAACTTCTTCCCTTTCCAGCGCATAAGGGAAACGTAGCATGTTTTACATACATTTTTTGGGGCCCACGGTACATCAACAACCACATTAAAATTAAAATATAATGCATAGCACTTTAAGAAACTTTCCGTAAAGGGCTTCGCTTTAGATGGACCGGTAATGGGTACGAAATGTCCGCACACATAACAAAAGTTATTAATATTGCCCTGACAATTTGCCATGTTAAAAATATAATTTATATTCGCACTAAACAAGGTATAACGTTTAAATACTCAATTTACCGTTTCAGTTACAATATTTCGCGTAAATAAAAAAATTTCTTAAAAACTGCTTCTTTACCTTATTGAATGCAAAACTTTTTATGTGTAATAAAATCAAAGAGTATATAATATAAGGAAAATTGTAATTGATGATTAAATGATAAATTTCCATTAAGAAAAAACATTCAGAAAAACTGTTTTTGAAATATTTTTGATAAAAAATTACGTTTTATCGCATTTTTATGCTTGTTAATGTGGTTATTTTAAAATTATTTTTTTTGTAGATATATTTTAATTAACAGGAAATAAAAATAAAGATAGTTTAAAAATAATTCAAAAATATTCCGAAAATCAATTTAAATATTTAATTTTATCAAAGAGTATATTAATTAAAATATATCTACAAAAAAAAATAATTTTAAAATAACCACATTAACAAGCATAAAAATGCGATAAAACGTAATTTTTTATCAAAAATATTTTAAAAACACAGTTTTTCTGAATGTTTTTTTTTTAGAGAAATTTATTATTTTATTATCAATTACAATTTTCCTTAAAAACATTTAAATAAATATTAATAGCGAAGTAAGTAAACACAGATTACGCGAACGAGTCATTCAAACTTTAAGCGGTTATAACTTTGAAAGTCGAGCTAACTTTTTAAAATCCTTTGGGGGTTTTGGTCTACAAAAATAGTACTATCGATCCATCCAGACCGCAGCCAGGTAATTTTTATACTGCTGCACAGTGTTATTAATAAGATTTTCACAAACAGTTTGACTTTTTGCTTGCAAAATAGCTGTACTTACTTCTTTAACAGATATTTTTTGTTGTAATGACTTTTCCGATTCACTTGCTTCAGAATTTACAATAGTCTTTTTATTATTTTCCAATTTTTCATTGTTTTTCTGGTTTTTCATGGATTTACCATTACTACTTTTTATTATATTAATTAAATCTATTTGATCTCTAAGTGAATTAATGGTTATTTTTTGATATTCTATTAATTCATCCTTTTGCTTTAAAGCTTCTTTTAAAAAGTAAATTTCCAACATAAGTGGATCATCTGATATTGATGGTAACTTATTTCGTAAAACAGCTTGGGGCACAGCTTCAGTTAATTCACAGCATATTATTTCCTTGCTATTTATTTGCTTTACATTTTTATATAGTTTTGCACAGCTGGGATGCATAACTGATTCGCAAACTGAGCATTTAAGAAAACCTCCGACTTGAACACTTTTACACCTTTTGCAAGGTTTTATTGCTGATTCGTTAGTAGACATTATAGCATCTAATTAATATCGTCCTGTATAGTCGAGTTCGCCAAGGCGGCTGCACGAACAATCGCGGTCCAGGCGAACCGGGCTCAAACCCAGCTGCCCGCAAAGATTTTATTTTTGATTTCAATGTTTTTTATGAATAGTTTTTGTTAATATTTTTTTTATTGTTTAAACTCAAGTCTGTGAGAAAATAACAGTTTAATTTCTACTTAAAGTCACTTAATCCCAGCACAATTTAACAAACTCAAAACACTAACATTTTAACAATCACTTAATGCACAGATTGATAAAGTTTTAAAATTTATTTTACTACTTAAACCCATGTTAAAAGTAAAATTTATAGGAAGAATTCTAAACACAACCGTACCCGGTGAGATAGATGATAGATGGTCGAAGGTCGATGGTCGATGGTCGAAGCTCATTCTCCCCACCTCCATATCTCTGGTTTTATCAAATGAAATTATTATTGAATGAAAATTATCTATATTTTAGTCAATTTTTTGCCAGAGGTGTCCTGCTTAAAAACTATCCAGCTAACTTTCTAACTTTTGATCCACAATATAGAAAAATGTATCAGATGCTGATCAAATTCAATTATATATTATTAATCTTCATAATTGGTTTGAATAAATATAAATTTATATTAATAAGTATTAATATATATTTTTATTTCTTTTTACTTATTTTAGTTTTTAGCATTTTTTAATAACAAGGGGTTGTTCATAAAGTATGTTACATATTTAGGGGAAGGGCAGACCTGCCCCCGGGGTCAAGACTTTGTGACAATATTATATCATAATTGATCAAGATAACATAATATTGTAGTTATGTGTGACATGAGGGGAGGAAGTCTGAAATCCTCAAAAGGGTGTGACGTACTTTATGGATGACCTCCAATTGTTTTTTTTAAGTATATTTTTATGTAGTATTCTACTGTTTAGTAGAGGGTTCGACTATCGGAAAAACTGACTATCGATTTAATCGATAGTGCTGTTACTTAAACTATCAATATATCAATAACTATCGACCTATAAATAAAACACATTACATCAGCTTAAATGTATTTATTAAAATTTACATTTAATGTAATATAAATAAAATTCTCTTTATAAAACATAAAAGAACAACAAATTCTTTAAAGTAATAAACTATTATTAAAATAATAATGTTAACAAATTAAACTCTTGAAACCATAATTAAAAGTATCTATTAGTAATTAAAACAAAGAGAATTAGTATAAAATATATCGCCAGAATTATTAGCATTCACAGATCAAGCGATTCTGCTAAACTGCCGCCTTTTCCCTTCGATCCGTCTTGCGTGATGTTTTCGCAGTTGGACTGGCCTAAGTCAGCGATTATTTGCCGCTGCCATAAATTATTCTTTTACCATGGGTGTTACAGTCGGCCATGCTCCCATTTTTTCCGTCCCGGAAAATGTCAAACTGAAATTTAACAGTCACATTAGCTAAACAATTTATTAATTAAGAAAAAAAAGAAAACATGAGGTGATGTATATGATGGCCAGTAGGGTGTCCCTTATTTTTATTTTTTTTACGCATACCCTCTAATTATATTTATTACTTGTTTATATATTCCCAGTAAAAATTTCAGCTCATTCTATAAACGGGAACCCGTGCCGACTTGCATCTGAACCCTCCGTTAGCCAACCTTAGGCGCGCGCGGTATTTTGTAACACGAAACACTTTAAAAAGAAGATATACTTCATGACTGTATTTTTCTAATGATTTTATTAAATATGATTACTAATTAATATTATTGATTTTGTTTTTATCATTTGTTTCACTAATTTAGTTGATTTTATCCCTTAAATATATTAATATACTAATTAGTATTGCTAAAATATACTGTTATATGAAATTTCAGCTTTTTATAATCATTTCTTTTCTTGATGTCCTCCCAAAAATATTTCAGACAGTTCAATACGTTTTCGGTAGTCATCTCTCACAATATACTCTTTTAGTTATTTAGAGTAAAACCCATTAAGTTTATCAATTTCAGAGTTTACGGCCTATTCAACAGACCCCTCCGGGTAACTAGCCACTCCCTGTGAAAATATACATTTTTATCAAAGTATACACATAAATAAAACTATATTTTAACATTTGTCAATAATTTATAATATAAGGGTCACATAATAACAAACACAAAATGACTTCGCGACCAACCGTGTTACAAAATACCGCGCGCCTAACGTTGGCTAACGGATGGTTCAGATGCAAGTCGGCACGGGTTCCCGTTTATAGAATGAGCTGAAATTTTTACTGGGAGTATATAAACACGTAATAAATATAATTAGAGGGTATGCGTAAAAAAAATAAAAATAAGGGACACCCTAATGGCCAGTCATTACATCAACCTCTTTGGTCTTCTTTTCTTTTATTAAATATTAAAAACAATTAAAAAAAATACATTAAGCAAACAATACTTCCTCAGCATTCGTGTCTGAGTCGTCATCACTACTGCTCTCACAAGCAGCCGTAAAAGGTTTCATTCGGTCGACCGAACAAACCCCTCTATATTTCTTTTGCGCACGTCTAGAGCCTGGCAGGTCTTTTACTATATATCTGTCGCGTTCGAGTACTTCTTTTATAAGGTAGGGACCATTATACTTAGGCACTAACTTGGTACTTTTGCCGTCGTTGGCAAGATTTGCCCGTCGTAGAACTACTAAATCTCCTACCTTGTACTCTTGACATTTTTTTCGTTTTTTATCATGTTGCTTATCTTGTTGTGCTTGGATTCGTTTTCCTGCTGCACATCTCGTCTTTTGAATATCGTTTTCCATTTTGTTTTCAGATACAGCCCCACTTAGGAATGAGTCGTGCATTCCCCTAGGCTTATACCCGAATAACAGCTCGTAGGGACTTTTTCCCGTCGCATTATTTACTGAGGAATTTATACTAAAGATCGCAGATCTTAATGTGTTGTCCCATTTCCTCTCATCTTCACAAGTAGTTAATAAAACGGATAATATTGTTTGATTATATCGTTCTATCTGACCATTCGCACGTGGAGTTGCAGTAGCATTTAGAACAACAACCTTAATACCTAAATTTTTGGCGAATGCCGTAAAGGTGTCACTTGTAAAACAAGAACCTATGTCGCTTATAATTCGCCTAGGTACCCCAAATGTATGAAAAACTTTCTCCAAAAATTCCTTTACTGGTCTAACCTTTGTGTTTTTCACTGGTTTTGCAAACAAAAACTTAGTAAATGCATCCATTGCCATACTCAGGTAAGCGTTTCCTTT